TCCCGGGCCTTGTCTTGGTGGTAGATCTAGTTTGGGTTGCAGATCATAGTTTGTGCATTTTGCTTTGAGTTCAAGATCGTGTTAACTGCCGTGGCTAACCCCGTGAGTGCATCAGCAAACCATCCTTCACAGACAGCTGAAAGGAACCCCCAGATGCAAGGCGGCCAGAATCGATCTGCTAAGAATATTTTTAGGGACTATTGATGGATTGCTGTATTTTGTGCTTAACTCAAGTGCCAAATGCCCCAGAGGTGACGAAGATGAACTTCCCCTTTACTGAAGATGAGCGAGGCCATCACGCACACAGAGGGCTCCGGGATGGCTGGGATTGCTTTTGAGGTTCTTGGGGGAAATTTCTTGACAGCCTTGTAACTATCTGCTGGTGGGGATTGTGCAGCAGTCTGTTTGCAGCCGCCAAATGTTACCCAGCTGATCGCCTTCCAGTCCAGGGACACCTATCTGTGAAGTGTGAGGCCACATTGTACAGCAGCCAGACAGTGAATTCTCAGTATCCAGAATGATCTGGAACACAGAGGCACTAATGGCCCCTCATCTTTCTCCTAAGGCCACCCCCACAGAAGGCGGGAGCCACGTTAAACTGTGCTTCTGTCAGCAAGCTGAAAGCCCTGGGTCTCTGACGTGGCTCTCAATTGCAAGCAGGTCTCTCTCATTGCACCTCATTTGCATCTGGGACATCAATTAGCATGTTTGTTGAGGCTAATTGAATGAAACTCAATCATAGCTCTTAATTGCTTGACTATGTGAAAAGAAATCACATTAATGCAGCTAATTAAGTGTACGGCAATAGATGCAACATAATTAGGAGCAAAATGTAAAAAACAGGAGAAGGCAAAGGTGCAGGCGCTGGGTGCAGGGGGACAGCTAGGCATGGTGGCGAGCTGTTGGCGCGTACGGGAACGGGTCCCTTTGCTCTGGCGCCTGCTTGGAAAAAAAAAGAATCCGCATGATAAGCGTGGACAAGTTAAGGAGGAAAATGCAAATAGGTTTGCAATTACTACTTTTTCAAGCTGTTGAGGGGCAAGAGATGGCACGTCTGGGGGGCCTGGCTCTTGAGTGGGCCCCAGGGACTTGTTAAGTGCTGTTTAAAAGTACTTGGCTTTGAATTACCCTTACGCCTTGTTAAAGGGTTTTTCCCCTCTTTTATCTTCGATCAGCATTTTCTGTAGCTAACGTGGAGAAGGGTATCTGAGTAGTATTTGCATATCAAAATAAGCTTGCTGCCGTTATTTTACCCAGCGAGGTCCCTACCTCACACTCACCCTGGGTCTGCACGTCTTGTCTGCTTCTGAAGGCACCGCATTGTTTAGTGGTTGCAGCTTTAATTCCTCAAGTACCAAGCTGGGGAGAGATGAAAAGGCCCTGTTCTTGTAGAAGCAGGATCAAACTCAGGCAGATTTTCTCTTGGGAGAAGAAACTAGGCAGAATGGAAACATAGGAATTGCCAAGTGAATGTCTGGTTTTTGTTCTGTTGGTTGGTGTGTGTTTGTGTACACACAAACCTGTAGAGGCGATGAGTCAGCATTGAATGTCTTCCTCTGTTGTTTTCCCCACCTGGAGCACAACTGGAGTGGCTGGGCGGTTAGAGTGGTCCCGTCTCCACCTCCCCAGCAATGAGACCAGGGACAGTCATGCTGGAGGTCAAGCTTAGGCCCAGAAAACAGTTTACCAGTTGAGCCTGCTGGCCAGCCTTTGGTGCCTAATTTTCTTCGAGCCAATTTTGAAGCTTGCAGTGCCTAACATAGGCAAGAAAACAGATCGTCCAGCCCATGCTGGGCTCAAGATAAATGTCTTCCCTTGGCGTGTTCAGATCTGGAAAAAAGATTTTACATTTCTACAGTAATTTTAAGTAAAATATCCTAGTTATTGTATGTTAAAACATGCCTATTAAAAGAGCCCACGCTGGGGCTTAGTCACTCTCTGATTAGCCTCATTTTAGAACTCATAAGCAATAAATGCTCAATTACACTCCTGTTATTGTATTTTAATTTGTTAAGAATCGGCATTAAAGGAGAAAGTTGCAGCAAGTTGGTCTGTTAAAGGAGTAACTGCAGGAAGGAATTCTTTGTTTGCAGGCATAACTCTGTTTGGAAACTCGGGCTTGCATGTGGGTGCCTACCAATGGCCGGCGTTAGAGATGGGAGCAGCCTTTCTTTCTAATGACCTGCCCCTACGTGACGTCCCTGTCTTCCCTGGAGGACATTCGTTTGCTGTCTTTGGTACCAAGCTTTTCCCATCAGAATCCACACTGTCTTCAGACTGACTCAGTGAGGATAACTCCTTCCATCTTTGGCCCACATCTTTCCATCGTGGGCATGTGACCTGGGAGATACCACTCCTATTACGGTGGCCAGGAGCCAGCGAATCAATCCTGTAACAGCTTTATCCATGTGGCATAGTACCACCATGTCCATGGCAAAACCTCACACCTCAACTAAGCCCCCAAAACTTTCTGATAGCATACCTAGAATCCAGTTCATGCCTGTCCTAGACACTTCTCAGCATAACCAAGGGGACACGGTCAAGGTTAACTATCATATGAGTTTTCCCAGAACTTTTGTCTGCTAGGCCATGGACATCCTTGTGCAATTAAATTAGGTGGCCTGCCTCTTTCCCATCACTCGTGATGGAAGATTTCTCATGGCTTTCATGCCACTCCCTGTGCCCAAAGGACTCCGTCAGTATGCATTGCCCTGCTGTTCTCCAGCGGACTATGACCCTTGACCTTCCCATTTTACTTGTATGGATGATCTGTTGCATCTGTTTGCTGCATTCTTAGGTGCTCAGAACAACCGGCTCACTTTTCCAGCTTACTGGGCATATCAGCCAACATGTAAGCTAGGTGCTCACCTCTAACATTACCCTAACCTGAATTTAATTACTGAGAGCAAAACAAATTTCTGGGTTTCCCCAGAAGCATATATCCCACTTCCAGCATAGGTAAAATGCTGTATCTCTAAACAAGAGGCCTCACTGGGAAGGTGGTAGTGGTGGCGGTAGTGGTGGCGGTGACAACAGACAATGGTGGTGGGGATGGAGGACAGTGTGCCTGTCAGCCCCTGAACCCTGGCTCAGTTGTTGTGCCCCTCAGCTTTCAATCCCTGGGACCAAATTCTCCTGAGATAATCAACTTCTGTGGTAGAAAGTTTTATTTTGGCTTGTAGTTTCAGAGACTTTTGTCCACGGTCACTTGGCCCTGTGGGTTTGAGCCTGTATCAGCATGTCATGGCCAGAGACACCTTGTCATCTCACAGCAGCCGGCATCGGGGAGGGAAGATGGGAATGAAGGCAGACTGGCCTCCCAGTTTCCTTTTAAGAGCACACCCTAGTGACATAATTCCCCCACTTCTTAGAGAGTCACCACCTCCCAACAGCATCACAGGCCAGCAGCTAAGCTTTGGGCACGCAGTCCATTTTCGAGGATGTTCACCCAAACTCCGCCTGCCATTCGCTTTCTTCGGCTGTCCCCAGGTGTTGTGTTTGTTCTACTGTGTGATGGGTAGTTAACTGACTTAGCCCAGGCTACCCTCTGATAGTTGCTGGCTGCTGACTTCTGACACAAGGGCCAAGGGTTTGGTGGATTTGTTTCTAGGTTTTTGCTTTGCTTTATTTTGTTAACTTTCTTTGGGAAAGTGTGATCAAATGCCTGAAAAGAAGCAGTTTTGGAAGGATGGGATTTCTGCTTTAGCTTACAGTTCCAGCAGGATATGGTTCATCAGAGAGGGATGCTTGGTGGCAGGAGCAGGAGGCTGCTAGTCAAATTGCTTCTGTTCTCAGGGAGCAGAGTGAACAGGAAGTGAGAACAGGCTATTTAGTCTTAAATCCTGTCCTTGGCAACTCATTTCCTACAGCAGGCCTTCACTTCATAAAGGCCTCACAACCTTCCCAAAAAACATCCACGGCCAAAGACCAATTGTTCAAACACATGAGCCTATGGGGGGCATTGTATCTGTATAATGTTACTTCTATGCATGTTTTCAGGGCTATTTGGCATTGAACAACTAATTGGTGTGCTCTTCCCTGGAGAAGGCCACCTCTCCTGCTCCCAGCTTTTCCTCAGCTGCTTTTAGTTTTTTGTGTAGGGTGGAGAACTGGTGGGCTTTTCCCCACGCACTCTGGCACGTTTGTTCACGCTGATGAGACTCTATGGGTGTTGCTTCTGAAGCTAATAGGAAGCATGCACATTGGTATTAGTGTCCACTTGCAGGTGTGTCGTTGTTGTTTCTGCCTTGCTGCTGGTCCCTCAAACACCTCCAGTCCTTATGTCTTAGTTAGGGTTTCTATTGCTGGGATGGAACCATGGGGAGAAAAGGGCTTGTGTGGCTCACACTTCCACATCACTGTTCACCACTGAAGGACGTCAGGACAGGAACTCAAACAGGACAGGGACCTGGAGGTGGGAACTGGTGCAGAGGCCATGGAAGGAAGCTGCTTGCTGGCTTGTTCCTCATTGCTTGCTCAGCCTGCATTCTTATAGAACCCAGGACCAGCAGCCCAGGAATGGCACCATCTGCAGTGATCTGGGCCCTACTCCATTAATCACTAATTAATTAAGGACCTTAAGGAAGCATTTTCTTAACTTAGGTTCCCTCTTTCAGATAACTTCTATTTTGTGTCAAGTTAACATAAAACTAGCTAGCACAACTTAGTTACCACCTTAAAGTTTGGACACTGTTCTCATGAATTTTTTCCCCATCCCCACGAAATATTCTCAGAAGTCACAGTACAAGCCCAGGTTCCTAAACTGCATCTAGAAGACAAGAGTTCAGAGAGCTAGGATTTTGTGCTCTTTCTCCTTCCCATTCCCAGGCCTAGGTTAGGGCAAGACATAGATGCCTATCTTGGGTTTAAATGGGAATGATGTCACCCATATCCTGCAGATGAAAATGGCAGTCACAGGTCATGACATTGATAGGGTCTTGAGTCTCATGCTGTAGCCCATTCTCTCTTTAATCTCTCTTGGGTGTTTAACATTCACACAGGATTACATGCAGAATGTTCATGGCAAAGAGATTGACCTCCTGAGAACCACTGTGAAAGTGCCGGGGAAGAGGCCACCCCGGGCCACGTCGGCCTGTGCACCCATCTCCAGTCCCAAAACAAACGGCCTGTCCAAGGACATGAGCAGTTTACACATCTCACCAAATTCAGGTAAGCTCACCCCTCAGGTGCTCCTGAGGGCCGCAGTACTGCTGCAGGTAGATGGTGTCTCCTCTCTATGCGCTTTTCTCTGTGAATGGAAGTGTAGCAGGCAAGCTACAGCTGTATACCCATAAGTGTTCCCAGGCTGGGTGTTGAGAGCGGTTCTGTATGTGGGTCAGCTAATTAAGGTCATTCAGAGGTAGAGGAATCTTCTGTAACGGTAGAATGCCTGCCAGCTACACATAGAGTACTGGAAGAGGTGGTGAGCACAACGCGCAGACCTGTACATGGATGAACTGTCGGGTGCTGTCGTAACCGTCTCTTGTTCCGTAGAGCAACTTTGTTCTTTATTCTCCTTCCAAGAGCTTTGGTTTGGTTTGGTTTTTTCGTTCAGGATTAGAGAAAGTCTTGTTTTGCAAGAATTTGGTGTATTTGGAAATTCTCAGCCTCCAAGCAGTCACAGCAACTGGCATTATGTTTGGTTTTTGCGAAGCATCTTTGCAGGTAATTGACAGCAGTTTGGGCCTTCATGCGATTGCTTCTCAGAGAAGCCAGGTAAAGAGTGGTCTCATCTCTCTCTGCATGTGGAAGCTCTTTAGGAAGGTTCCTTGTTTCTGCTAACTAAAAGTGCTTTCTCCCACTAGGTCCATCCAGTCTTGGGGGGTTGCTCAGCAGGGAATGTTAACATGCATGTCAACTTTTTGGAATAATGAGCTCTCACGTCTGAAATGCTGGGTGCTTTTAAAGATGGTGTGGTGAACTCCACGGGGCTGTGAATGGCGCTGGTTGGTGAAAGTGGAATGGCAGGAGAGAGTCGAGCGTGGGCTCCCCCAGACGGTGCCTTGTGGTATCGTGTGGTGTTGGGCATTTCCCCTACTGTGTACCTACAAACAGAAGAGGAGGGCAAAGTCAGCACCATTACAGGTAGTTAGTAATCAAACTAAAAGTTGGCCCCTTCCAGAAAGGTGAGCTTGATGTCCTCTTGGACCCGTTCCCCTCGTCCCACAACGGGGATGAGGTTTCCATGTCAGGTGAAAGGAAGGACAGTGGTGTCCTGGGAAGCAGTAAAGCCTGGAGTGAAGAGAACGTTAGCCTCCATACTTCATTACAGTTAGTCATGCATACTTATCAGTGCCGCTTTATTCCAAAAGCTGCGGGCACTGCGGCTTTGGAGTCTCTGGCCCCCAGAATCCCTGTACGTGACAGTCACCTGCCAGCTTGCTTGTGACACTAGATCCAACTCTGCTCATTCATGACAGCAAGCATTTGCTTATGGCCCCTCTTAGCAAACCTTCACATGAGAGTTTCCTGAAAAGATACAGAGCACCTGCTTGATAAATGTGAAGGGACTGTAACATTTCAAAGTTATTTTTAAATTGACAGCGGTTACAGGTATCTGTCCATTACGATCACCACTCTGTATACATTAAGTGACTGACTGAAGTCACTACTAACTTGGTAGTGTTCCCCACCCCCCTGAACCCAGAGACGCAGACTATAAAGCCTAGTCTTGCCCTCGAGACTCTCACTGTCTGGTTGAGGGTGAGGACGGGAAGTCCAGGGCGGCAGCTGTGGAAGGGCTGAGATCTCTGTGACAGGAAAGAGGGCAGGGCTTAGGGCAGAGGGACATGCTCCAGGTAGTGGGGTCAGGAACCTGCTGGGAACCTCCATGAGGAAACAGTATCAGTGAGTGCAAGAAACAGTGGCTAAAGTAAAGACTCGGGACCCCTGGGTCTTGAGACTCGGTCTTGAGTGCTGCATGGTATCAGTCCCTACGGACCAGAGCTGTGTCCTCGCCTCAGGTCACTCACAGGGGAAGCCTTGCTGTTGGGCAGCCTTCAGTCCGAGGCATGAGTAAGACCCATTTACGTGGTCATGTCCCTCAGCTTCATGGCGAGGGATCTTGAGAACCCTCACTCTGTTAATCTGCGAGACAACCTGGTTGATTTTCCGTGGTCAGTAGACGTCAGTTGGGACGGGGAAGTCGGACTGTGACATAAGTCACGGTGTCTCAGGGTCACAGTCATACTCTGGGCAGTGCGGCTCCCTCAGTAGGCATTACAGATGATGTCATTCTCTGCTTCTAGTAAGAGTTGGTAAGACCTCTAGAATGTACCCAGTTAGTCCTTGGGTCTAAGTCCAGACTGTGGTCCAGTATGTAAGGGACAGCTTTTCACCAAAATGTTGTGATACTTTAAGTTATATTGAATTCTTACACCTGGACATTAATCTAAAATGACATGTTGCTTTTTGCTTAAGAAATCAACACATTTGCTGGGTTGAATTCTTATTCTCTACATTATACTCTGAAAGCCAGGTTCCCTGTGTTTTAAGTTGTTATTCATAAACCACTGTAGGGTGAGGAGCAGCAGCATGGCAAACTACTCTGGTGATGTGATGGACTGCAGCTAAAAAGAGTTCTTACAGCTATTTGACAAATAATTGAACGTGATATTTGAGGACACTCTTGACTCTTGGGTTCTGCTGTGTGGGTGTGCTGAGAGTCTGGGGTAGCTGTGGGTGTTTGGTTCCCTTGGTGATGTCTTTGTTGTCTGTCTGACCTGGGAAGTACACATGCCTGAGCCTCGGCACTCAGGACTTACTCACCAGCAGCCAGGAACCACGGGTAGTGTGGTTCAGCTGGTGAACCCTCTGTCAGCTTCTTGATACATGTTTCCAAAATAACCTCTAGAAATATTTTTTATAAAATACCACATGAAGCAGCTTTTAGCTGTCATTTTCAGAATCAACAGGGTAAAAACACCTTATACTGTGTGTATTTAGTCTCTTCCAACAGTTGTGAATCTGGGCGCCTCATAGGCTTATTGCCTATGCATATCTCTTGTTGTAGTTCTTTACATGTCTTGTTTGCATGCATTTTAATAGGTCCTTTTTATTGTTGGTAAGGAAACACTCTTTATATATATATTGAGGATATTGGTATTTTATAATATGTATAACATATCAAAAGCAATAGTTTACTTTTGCTTCGTGGTCTTTACACATAGTTTTTTTTTTCTTTTTTTCCCCACCTATGGTATTAAGTATTATGGTTCAGTAGTCATTCATGTTTGTTATATATACAGTCAGATTAGTTAGGTTCTTTAGCTGCATAGAGATTGTACTCTGTATAGATAGATAATCTTCACCCACTTCAAGGATTTGTAGAACATGGTAGTTAAATAACTTAGGGTTCTGTTGATGTGAGACACCCTTGGTCCTGACAGCACCAATCTATTCCCCAGAGAATGTTGAACACCAAAGACACTCCACTTGGTGCTTGTTTTCTTTTTGGCACAATCAGCCTTTGGGCAAGAAACTACCCATGTCTTGATCACTGACAAAGTACATGGTGCCGGGACTGGACTAGCAGGACACAAGGAAAAGGGCCGCCAAACCTTGCCAAGACAGGGTGAGATAGTGCTAACAATTTCCCTGCCTCTGAAAATGGTCTGTTAGTTACTCCAAAGTTGGTTGCTTCAACACTGCAGATGAGACTTTGGGTGATTGCTCAGGTAGCCAGTTTTCTCTGTCATATACTGCACACTTTGGAAGCTGCTTGATTGCACTTCCTGCCTACTCAAGTAATGTTATCTCCCTTCTCAGGCCTTTGATGGGGTTGAAGATTAGATAGTCATAGTTACCTTGCTTTTATGATTTAGCCAAGCCATTTCCAATGCAAGACTTAGACTCTTTAGAATAGAATGTTTATTAAAACATTTAATAAGTGTTTCTTGCTTAATATTGTTTATATTGTTTGTAAGCCTAATTTTATACTTGATACCTGTTCCTAGTGTATGTAGTTTTGTAGTGGATTTGGAACTCTCTTATTTAGACAAAGGGGGAAGGTGATGGAGAATCTCTGTCAGCCAGTGATCTTTAAGAGCTGGGACCAGGTTAGGGTGTGACCTTTTGGGTACTAGGAGAAAAATGCCAACCCGCACAGGGTTCTCTCTCTCTGTGGTTCCTGTACTACACAACTGAGGTTGAACTTCTTGTTCCTGTTTCATTAGTTTGAGTCTTATAATAAAGAAAATATAATTGATTTATCTTGGAGTTAGCCTGGAATTCTTTGATCTGCGTTTAACAACACCTCAGTGAGACCGAAAACTCAGGAGATAAACACACAGCTAAGATCACTGCAACCATCAGTTGGTGCATCAGACTGGCACATCTGCTCTTGGCAGGGTTATGGCTTGGCTGTTGTTTGGTTGATTGGTTGTTTGAGACAATATCTCTCTGTTTAGTTCAGGTTGTCCTAGATCTCACTGTATAGACCAGGCTGGCTTCAAACTCAGAGTCCATTCTCTGGCCTTTGTCTCCCCAGAGCTGGGATTAAAGTCATGCACCACCATACCTGGCCAGGGTTTTATTTCCTTGTGTATTTGGGATATCAGGGTATTGTTTCTCAGGCTTAGTGCTAGCTTATTATTTACTTTTGTACATTTTATCATTTTAAATTTAGAGATTTTTTTTTCTGTGGAAATGTTGACTGCTTGTCACATGTTGAAATTCTGGAAATGTTGTAATCTTAATGTTCATTTCTGCCATGGCCTTGGGAAGGAGGAAAAGCACATTGTCCTGGTAACTACATAGTGAACCCCATCTACCTCATGTTTCCTATGTTCCCCGTGTACTTCTGGGGTTGCAACTCAGCTAGTAGTGTGCTTACCTAATATATGGTGCCCAGAGTTTGATCCCCAGCAACACAGAAGCTGGGTTTGGTAGACAATACCTGTAATCCCAACACTTGAGAGGTAGAGGCAGGAGCATCAGAAGTTCAGGGTTATCCTGAACTACATAGCAACCTTGAGAACGTGCTGAAATACAAGAAAGTTCATCTCAAATAAGTAAATAAGTAGGGCTGGTGTGATGGCTCAGCAGGTAAAGATCTGAGTGTCATTGAACAGAGCCGTCTGACAGTCAAATATTGAATTGGATGGAAGAGAAAACTTTGCACACACAAACAAGAAACCTAATGCTGACATAAGAGAACAGCCCTGACCAAA